GTCTAACTATATTATATATACATACCTAACACTGGTGTCTTCACCATTTTGCAACTATTTGTTCTCTTTGCGAGTTTAATGTATGTCGCTCTTTATATATGCTTCGATCACATGTGTTTGCTTACTGATTAACGTCGTTTCTAAGTTTATAATGGAAGAAAACAACTGAGAAAAAAGCTGTGGGGGAGATGATGATGTGAAAATGATTGAAGTAATTATTGTTCTGCCTATAGGTGATGCTGTCAAAAGCAACTCTAAAATTTACACTTTCATATACTTGATTAAAACATAGGTTTGCTTGATTTTTGTGATGATATTTTCTCATATGTCCAAAAAAAAATGTTCTACGATTTACTCGAAATGGAATATTTATTTCATTTGCCATATTGTGAGATGTGGGGAACGTAATTTTTCTCATCGTTACGAACTGTTCTATTTACAAATTTGAAAATGATATTTCTCATTGAGTCAAAATTCAAAATTTGGCTATTCCTAAAATTTAACGTGAATCCACGTATTTTGCAATGTTTTTTACCATTATTTACAACATATGCATAATTTTTTGGCCCACCACATGCAAACCTGGTGATGTAGCTATTTTCCCCATGAGTTGGTCTGATTTCGTCAGTCCAATCTCCCAGAAAATCTCCAAGTCGTGGTTTGGGTTGCCCTGGCCTGCTAACGTATATAACGCTATCTGTATCAACATACTAGGTTACCTGCAAGGTAGAGATTGCTGCGAGCATTTTAGAGTCCAAGTGAATTGTTATATGAAATGTTAGTAAACTAAATCCGTTTTAACTAATAGCAATAGCAGGTTTAAAAAACGCAAAGTGAACCTCTATTGAGCGTTAACTCGCTGGGGCTGTACATGAATTAACACCTATTAGCGAATGACAAGATATTCAGCTCCGGGTTCGTGGCTCGGGGTTCGCGAACCCGGAGGCGGAGCTGGCTCCGGATTCGAGCGAACCCGGAGCTGGAGTGGCTAGTTTTCATACAAACCGATGTGGCCGCTTCGCTTTTGATGGGAATCGAAAAATTTAAAAAGGCCATTTTTCTTTGTTATATTATCAAGAACATGGCCTAAAATGAGAGTTTTATTTTATTTACTTTGCTCGCAATAGCTCCGTGAAAATGGCCATTTTTTTCGCAAAGTTGACTGGTCAGCGGCACGGGAGACCGCCAGGCTTTATAAAAGTTCGATTTACTAGCTTTACGACGAGTTTTTGTAAAAACTAAAAGATGGCCATTCGAGAGAAAGCTTATGAGAATATCCTTATAGTTCTAACCTTCTTCTAGCTTGCGAAACCACGACAGGCAACTTCTGTAAAGTCTAGCTGTCTGATTTAAACCACGCACCCGTGGCATAAATTTAATCCCTTCGCAAAGGCAACTAACCCGGTTTCTGCAAATTTTCGTTTTTCCACATTGGTTTATTGAACTGTAAATGTCATATAATCAATGCTAACAATTATTCGAATACTCTAAGCAAAAAAAGATCTCTTCTACCTGTAATATGCTACGGAAACAACACCGTCAAACAAGTGTACACAAAGCGGCTCAAATCGACAAACGGCCATTGCATGTTAAGTACGCTTTTCATCGCCGAGATTTTTTCGCTGATTTCTTCGCTAATTTGACTTTAAATAAAATTCTAAAAGATGGCCATTTGAGATATACATTCATACTCTTCCACCACAAAGATTTGAGGTTCTAGGATTCGTATCCAGTGAGCAAAACTCCTGAGAGTACATGCCGTCAGAATTCTGTCACGACCCGACATCATTAACATTACAACCCGATGGACACAACCGCCGTGTTTAGAGCAAATTCACGCTTTAGCGGACAACGCTGGTAAACCATAAACCCCATATTATTATTGTTAGCCATCATTCGAATGCTTTACGCTAAAAATATCTTTACTTCTCTTACTACACGGCGCAAACAGCATCGCTAAACCATGGTGTTAAAAACGGCTCAAGTTCTCAAACGTCAGAAATATGTCAAATAAGCTGAACATCACTCGGATTGTTTCGCAGATTTCGTCGCTGTTTCGACTTCATATAAAATTCTAAAAGATGGACATTTGAGATTTATATTCATACTACACCATGAAAGTTTTATAGGGCTTCGGGATTCATATTCAGCGCCAAAAACTCACGAGAATACAAATTTTGTTGACAACAAACTCTCGGGCGATGATAATTAACATTGTCATTGTTTTGATCTCAGGGAAAACCCATCAGGAAGATCGGGTGATTATTTAATTCTGTACTCGGGTAGCAGCGCTTTTACTTTACCACTTAAGCTTAGACCTTTAAACTGATTATCACTAACCTTTCTTGAACGCGGTTTTCTCTCTGTGATTGCTGTTTTCATGCTCATAACCGGCAAGCGTTCCAAGTTTTTATGTTTAGATAGAAGCACTCGTATGATCGTATTAGAATGAATCTGACCAATACAAATAAATCGGATTTTTTCGATGTTTAAAATCAAATTTAAAAATTATTAAACGCAAAAGCACGCGGTTAAAAACGTCTACTACCCGAGTACAGAATTAAATAATCACCCGATCTTCCTGATGGGTTTTCCCTGAGATCAAAACAATGACAATGTTAATTATCATCGCCTGAGAGTTTGTTGTCAACAAAATTTGTATTCTCGTGAGTTTTTGGCGCTGAATATGAATCCCGAAGCCCTATAAAACTTTCATGGTGTAGTATGAATATAAATCTCAAATGGCCATCTTTTAGAATTTTATATGAAGTCAAAACAGCGACGAAATTTGCGAAACAGTCCGAGTGATGTTCAGCTTACTTGACATATTTCTGGCGTTTGAGAACTTGAGCCGTTTTTAAGACCATCGTTTAGCGACGCTGTTTGCGCCGTGTAGTACAAGAAGTAAAGATATTTTTAACGTAAAGCATTCGAATAATGGCTAACAATAATAATATGGGGTTTATGGTTTACCAGCGTTGTCCGCTACAGCGCGAATTTGCTTTAAACACGGCGGTTGTGTCCACCGGGTTGTAATGTGAATGATGTCGGGTCGTGACAGAATTCTGACGGCTTGCACTCTCAGGAGTTTTGCTCACTGGATACGAATCCTAGAACCTCAAATCTTTGTGGTGGAAGAGTATGAATGTATATCTCAAATGGCCATCTTTTAGAATTTTATTTAAAGTCAAATTAGCGAAGAAATCAGCGAAAAAATCTCGGCGATGAAAAGCGTACTTAACATGCAATGGCCGTTTGTCGATTTGAGCCGCTTTGTGTACACTTGTTTGACGGTGTTGTTTCCGTAGCATATTACAGGTAGAAGAGATCTTTTTTGCTTAGAGTATTCGAATAATTGTTAGCATTGATTATATGACATTTACAGTTCAATAAACCAATGTGGAAAAACGAAAATTTGCAGAAACCGGGTTAGTTGCCTTTGCGAAGGGATTAAATTTATGCCACGGGTGCGTGGTTTAAATCAGACAGCTAGACTTTACAGAAGTTGCCTGTCGTGGTTTCGCAAGCTAGAAGAAGGTTAGAACTATAAGGATATTCTCATAAGCTTTCTCTCGAATGGCCATCTTTTAGTTTTTACAAAAACTCGTCGTAAAGCTAGTAAATCGAACTTTTATAAAGCCTGGCGGTCTCCCGTGCCGCTGACCAGTCAACTTTGCGAAAAAAATGGCCATTTTCACGGAGCTATTGCGAGCAAAGCAAATAAAATAAAACTCTCATTTTAGGCCATGTTCTTGATAATATAACAAAGAAAAATGGCCTTTTTAAATTTTTCGATTCCCATCAAAAGCGAAGCGGCCACATCGGTTTGTATGAAAACTAGCCACTCCAGCTCCGGGTTCGCTCGAATCCGGAGCCAGCTCCGGGTTCGCGAACCCGGAGCCACGAACCCGGAGCTGAATATCTTGTCATTATTAGCGAGAACACTGTCAATGACGTCAATATTTAGTTCAATATATGCTATATCAATGCTGTCTTGCGAGTTGCAGCTCGTTTAATCAAAGTCTTTAGAAGCAGCTAGTTTTAAAAATATTTTAACATACGAATCACAACAGGAGTATTAACACTAAGAGTAATATTAGGTAGAATTTTGCGCGCGTAGCGACATTTTCCCCACAACAAAGCGAAAATACAGGCCCAGTAGCACATGTTTAACAAAATAGAACATTTTTTGGTAACATGGATATTTGTTTTTTAAATATGCTATTTGTCTTTGTTGTGTCCATGTAAATGTTTCGCTTCATGTGAAGAGTAACAAAACATTACTTAATACTTTGAACTTTGAACGCGCTCGAGGAGACGTGTAATCAGAAACCACGTGAAGATCCGGTAAAAGCACTAAATAACGAAAACATTTAGCTCATTGTAAAATAGGAATAAAAACATATGCCTATGCTTACAGTAACCTAATTTTAAATAAGTCAAACATTTCACGAATCTGAGCGATTCAGTCAGGCAATTTAGATGATCAATTCAATTGCATATTTTATCTGCGACTGTGTCATGTTATTAAACACGACTCGCAAGCGTCAAGCCGCATACCTAAAAACATCATTTGATGCAAAATATGTCAAAATATGGAAATCAGCAAAAGAATACAAATGTCAATGGATAAAAAAGACTTTAAAGCATCTGTATGTAAGACTTGATTTGCTTCACAGCTCTGACAGCTCAACTGCTAAAGTAAAGCGAATTAGCAAATTGGATAGTACATCTTAATATTCTAGAATGATTTATATAGTTCGTATATATATACAGCATGAATCTAGCTGTGATCGATTGTATGCTTTTAGCGTTTCATAAATATACCAGTTAGAATTGTAAACAACTGTAAACGTACTATATGAACGAAAGATGAAAATATTTTACCTTGAATAGTCAAAATAGAACAGAAGCTTTGAAATTTAACAAAAATTTGAAGATCCTGTATATGAGCGAGTTTAAAATGTGTGTTCTACGCATAAAAAACGCGCACGACCACAATTCCTTGCGCTAAATAAAATTTAGTTCAGAACCCCCTCTCTGCACAAATTAGACTGCTGCTACGCTCGCTCGCTTCAGGCTCGCTCGCTCCGCAGCAATAATACATTTTCTCCTAAGATATCCATTGTCTTGTAAAGTTCTAATCTAGCCCATGCTGTAGTAAAAATGCCTATAAATAGGTTTGTTAGTTTGTTCTCCTTTGCATATTCATGCCTTCGCTTATAGACTATTTCAACTAAATCATCGTTTAAAATACAAAGATCGTGCATTTCTATATCGGCCCCATTAAGACGCTTATAGAATTGCAGAGGATCGCTAATAAACTCACTATTTAATCGATCGTCTTTCTGGCAAAATTTCCCCCACAAACTATTTAAACATAATTTAGCAAGAGCTCTCAACCCTGGGTTATATTCAATCTTATCTATTCTTAATCGAATTCCCTCGTGTTCATAGTAATCGTTCACATATTTAACTGGTCCTCGGGTGTCTGTACCCAATCAGGAAACCCCGAGCTCTCCTGTTTTACCCTAAGAAAATTATTAACATATTCGCTGAACAAATCACTGGATGAATTTTCAAAGTGCCAAATCTCATGAATTTTAATGATTTTGTATCCCTTTTCGATAGCTTTTTGAACTTCTATCGTAGTAAAGGTTCCCCAAAAGAACGTTCCTCTTCAGAATGCCGGCATTCTGAACAGGCATCCAAGACACACTGCTTGCACAATGGAAAAAATAACTTACCCTTAACTCGGACAGGTAAAACTCCATGATATAATTTACCCGGTGCTAAAACTTGACATTTTATCAAACCAAAATAATTCGAAATATCTTGAAAGTTTTCGCGAATTATAGTCGGGTGGCCTATGGGATAACGGCGATTCTTATTAACGAAAGGATAGAGAGAACAAATATCGATATATTCTATCTTTTTACCGGGCAAAGCATCTTTGAATAACTTAAATCCATTCACTCGACCTCCGAAGAAAGCATCGCGAGCCTCAAGATCAGTAACAATTTCGAACGTGTCCAGAAATGTTTTCATCTCTTTCGTTTCCCTAAGTTGTCTGTAGTCATGTTCCCAGATAGATTTTACCTGGTAACCGAGTTCACGGATTCGTTGTTCCCGTTCAACTGTTTCACTGTAAACTTCAGACATCTTACGTTCGTTGTGATAAGGGTGTTTATTATCACCGTAAAAACACAAAGGACATGAATGGAAAACGCAACCATGAAATTCATATACCGTATTCGTTTAACTTTTTCTCCACCGTTACACGAATGTTGGATTTTTGAGTTTGTTTGGGCTGCCACAAATTCAAGCCATTCAATCGAACTTTTAGAATATGGCTTATTGCTATTACGATACATGTTTTTGGAATAATGCCAATCGTACTTTCTTTCAGATAATTCGATCGATAAACGCTCATAACTGAAGATGCAATTGTACAATAGCAAAATGGATCAACTTTCGTTTCAGACAAAAACAAATCGCAAAATTCTAAACATAGACGTAAAATTGTGACATCCTGTGAACAATACTTATACATTTCTTTTTGAAAGTCGAATACATAATCATTCGTCATTACTTCCTGATGCCATGCGATTAATCTAGTTCGTTCTTTTTCTGATTTTATGTCCGGGCTATAATATTCAATATCGGGTATTTGACCAATATAATTCTGATTTTCAAACGTGTTAAATTTAAAAGGAAAATCGCCCTTTGAAAATTTGTTGGGATCCAAACCAAACGTCACCGGAAATTTTGAAAGTGGCATTTGAAGAAAATTCAACGAGTCGATAAGTCTGATCCTATAATCATTTAAAGTGAGTTGCATAATTTTTTGACCAGAATGAATAACATACATGTCCGAAGTTGGTCTGTGTTTTATCAACCATCTCTGAATCAAAATCGCATCAAAACCTTTTGCATTATGAGCTATTGCCGTAAAGCCTTTATGTTTCATGGAGAACAAAAACTCACAAAACTCATTCAATGCAGAGTAACCTTTGAAAATAATCTCTGATCCATCAAAATACTGAGCTACTGCAAAATTCACAATATGTTCACCTGAAGAAAAATCCGTTTCAAAGTCGTAAAATATGAGATTTTCGTTAGGCTCCTTTGGTGACTCCTTTTGCATATAACACAAATGGTCCGACAAAACAAACTCGTTACATATGTGACAGACGCGTTCGCCGCATCTGTGTTCATTTTGACGTTTTCGTTGAACTGTTGAAAAACACGTTCGACATTTAAATGATGTTTCACATTTCGAAGGAAGATTGACACCATTCAATCTACGGGTTTTTTTATGATGCTCAAAACATTTAAACGAACGACAAATCTTAAAACAGTCTAGACATGTTCGTTTTTCGCTAGAGACCCAATTGCATTCTTTGTGCAAGTGAAGTATGACATGGATCGTTACAGGGATGACCAAAAAAGTCTTGAAAAAAAGACTTACATTTTTCCCAGAAAAATCGTTTGCCATGGAAAGCCGGGAGTTTCTTTGGATTAATAACATTGTAATGATCGCCACGCCTGTACAAAACGATCTTTTTATCTCCCCGGGGGCCTTCAAAAATAACTGTGTTTCTCGCATTAAAATCTATGACAATAATTTGATATCCAGTTAGGACCCCCTGAAATTTGTTTATTTCGCGAAGCCCGCACGGACCAGATGAAATATTAGCTTTTCTGTACAGTTCAAGTGCTAACCTTTTTTGAATAAGTTTTCCATTTTTAAATTGCTTCAATTTCGGGTGACTATCTGCAATCGCTTGACCAGTAGCTATGGATCGAGCACAGCATAAATTATTCTTATTTCTGAGTGATAAAAATTTTTTTAGCTAAACTGTCTAAGCTATAATCCAGTACCTTAAAAGATGTACTGTACTCTTTCGGCTGTCGCACCGGTATGATGTCTATGACAAAAGATTGGTCTAGGGGTAAATTTTCATTGCTTTGAAGAACTTTGGTTACTTCGCTGAGAACTCTGTCCGAATTCATTTGAATCATTGGAACCAACTTGGTACTGATAGGTGCTTTTAATCAGATCTGACCATAACACGCATTTTATCTTCTAAAGGTTTTTGTAGGTCACACTGACGTTTCACCTACAAAATTAGGAAAACTATGCTTAATAACAAATCCTAGATCAAATAATGAACCGCATTTTTACGAGAAATTACCTGTTTTATGGCATCATCAAAGACTGAGTTAAGCTTGTCTGTGATGTCTCTGACATGGACTGTACCGGGATTTTCGGGACTTTGCATCTTTGCTCGGAAAACGCAAGAAGAAGCACCATATTTCAAAACATAACGTTCTGAAACTCTCTCCAGATTGAAATTAATAGGTTTAGTGTCTGTTGCGCGAAAGCGGTTTAAGTATTCTCGCTTCTTAACATTGTTTAAACCTTGATTTAAAAGCTTAGTAGCCTTCTTTTGCCAAGATAGAACTTTTGAAAGATCGCTTCTCTTTTTAGTCAATTCTCTGTCTATCTTTTTCAATAATCGACGTGCTAGTACGTTTTTTCGAATGGCTCTCGTTCTAAGCCTCTCGATTCGTTCATCTAGGTTTCCTGTCATTGTTGCGCACGTCTCAATCTGTTAAAACTCAGCACGTACCTAGCCCTTTTTATAGTCTAGCTAAGTACAACGACCCAATGAACAAACAATAAAATTGTTGTAAAACATAATGAGTTCGCTTTATTAGTTTGATATTGTACTTAGTTAACGTTATAATACAATAGCTTTCAAATGTCGTTATTTCTAATTGTTTTTATTTTTTGTCGCTGGGTTGACTTAAAATGAATGTATATTACTGTTTTGTAGACATCTGCGGACAGTGTCAAAAATATACATGTAACCTGGAATGCGGCTGCAAACCCCACATCTCAAAAATACATCTCCTGGAAGGCATACCCTTCGTGTGCCCAATATGTCGGTATGTGAAAACACTCATATGTAGTTTAGTGTTTATTACCAATCACACCACTGTTTCATGTCAGATGACCTCATTAATATTATTATTTTTGTAGAAAAAATGTGGGTAATGAAACCATTCGTTGGGCGAATGACGTCATATTTTGGATGGCAATGTTGGAGTAAGTATAGAAAATTCCAGGCTACCTTATTTGTATTGACCTTTTTTTTTCCCCTTTAACTTATTGCTTTTCCTTTTATTCTCCCTATAGAATGATCAACGCCTCAGCATTTCTTGTTGAAACATAATAAATTTATTTCAATAAAATATCATGTGTCGCCTCTAATAATTCTAAGGGAAACCTAATAGTATAAGCCATACAAAATCTGACAAAAAAATTCATTTATTTCAAATCAACTAACACACCCCTTCCATTTACAAAAAAAGTATTACTGAAGTTCTAGTCGTGTTTTCTTTTTAACAGCTGTCTAATCAACTAACACACCCCTTCCATTTACAAAAAAAAAAATATTACTGAAATTCTAGTCGTGTTTTCTTTTTTAACAACTGTCTATGTTTGATACAAAATAATATTCGCCAGTCCTTGCATGTATATTTCAAAAGTTCACGTCCGTTCACTTTTGGTTTGATGTCTTGTAAGCTTTTCATAAAGTTTTCAGCGATCGTCGCTTCACAAACTCTCTCTAATGCTTCGTCAAAGTACATACAAATTCTCTCATCCGATTCCATCATCACACAATTGTGTTGGCGTTGGCTACAATGTTGAATTTCACAACCGTAACAATTCTCAACAACAAGGTTAGATATGATAGAGACAATTTCATCAACGTAACACTTGAGCAATTTTTCTTCAATGAGACTTTGACGATGACTGTAATACATCTCTTCATCACCAATGTCATATGGAGTAAGTAATTTTGGCAAAGTTTTTCTTGAAGACATTTTAAAACACACCCTGTCTGTTCAACAATCAAAGCAACACTGATAAACTCTATAGGTTCGAATGAGTGTTTACATATCTCAACTTCGTAATTAACATACCCTGATTTACAGGTTGTCCAGGTTTTTAAAAGTAACCTGAATTACAGATTGAAGGGTACGTGTCGAGTGAGTCCCTCTTCTCGGGTACCCATTCAAAAAAATCGCACGATTCATCTTTTCCCATTGAACAGGAGTAAAACAGACGACCATGGTTAGGTCCGTCCTTTTTAACTTTTCGCACAAAACATTGGATACCATGATAACAATTAGGTTTCAAAACATCACCCCATTGCCAGAATGAACAACGACTTCCCTTCACCGAACAAATAAAAAATGGTCGACCAAAGTTAGGTTTTAAAATATCTTTCACGACTTTCATTTTACACAACCTCTTATGCTCATGACATTGCGGCTGAGGACATTTTGAAATTTTCCACAGATATATAGCATTTTGAAAGTAGCTACAATCACTCTGTGGGCAAAAGAAATTACAACTTGGGACTTTGACCACATTAAAAAAAAGTCCATTGGACGTTTGTGAACAAGACGCGGGCTCTCCGTGTAAACATTTCATGGTTTTGAAGTTCTGATAAGTGTAAAGTAAAATTAAATGAATGCTCTTTTATATCTTCAAATTGAAAACCGGTTAGACATATACGTTTCAGAATATGGTATTGGAACAGATTGAAAAAACCGTTACGATTTTCTCTCACGAAAAAAGAACTAATTACTCGGTCGTTGCTTCACAAGGGGAAATTGTATTATGTACAAATGATAGTACAGGACAAACTAATATAATTAATGTACTCAAAGTGATTTAAACAAGGGGGAAATAATAAACACCTACACAGGGGAAATGTTACATTAATCCCTAGTTGTTAATAAAAAACTCATTAGCATGTTATTATCTAATCCCTTCAACTGTAAGCTATCGTTTTGAATATCAGTCTTGTTCAAATGTTCAAAGAGTACACACAGAACGTATGTTGTCCACAGAGTTAAAACATTCTTCTCAAAATTGTTTAAACATGGTCATTTCAAAATATATTCTTCAAAAATATAACTTCACCTAAACCGAAAGGCACAATCAAGGTAAAATTGTACGGATTTTGACTTCGAATTGTTATCAAAGATAAAATATATCTATCATGATAACATAAACCCGCTCTCAACCAGATATTTCAATTTGCGACATATTTCAATTAATATACATCCTTTCTCAATCAATCATTTCCCATTTGTGACGTATTCAATTAACATGCGCACGCATATCCCTCACACGGCCGACCTGGAAACTAATTGACAGGGGTAAGAGCTCCTTAAAAAAAAAAGCTGACTCGACGGTTCCATACCTGCAGTTATTCTACTGAGATCACCCACATAACAGTGGATCTGACTTTTCTAACAACCGGGTGTATAAAAAAAGGTAATCCAAGTATTGTACATGAACTGCTCATTCTATTAACGACTTTTTTCACATTCGGAAAGGTTTGGTATAAATGAGACAGTCTTGTGTGTAAAGTACATTATAAGAAAAGTGGAATCGTCTGAAAAATGTTATTTAATGAGTACTCAATTGAAATAATCCTTTCACAAAATCAGTTACGAAGGTTATTGTGACTTGGATTACAGACTTGGATTTTCCGACCTCGCGTTCAACGTTACGTGCGAGCCTGGTTTTGTGAATAACACGTTTACACTCTATCTGAAAAATTGAAAAATAGTAAGGAATGTCGAAATGTCCATCCGGAAAGAAACGCAATGGGGCAAAAGCAATCTAAATTTGTTGGCAACGTTAACTATGGCAATACTATAGCTGAAGAATCTGAAAATATTGCAACAAATGTTTTAGTAATTATGGCAGTCGGCCTAAAATTGCCTTGGCAATGGCCAATCGCCTATTTCCTGACAAGTAAAACAAATAGTGAGATACAAGCCAACCTTATTGAAGAAACTATAAAGCTTCTATACAAAGAAAGTATCATTGTCAGATCTATAACTCTTGATGGGCCGCAAAAAAAAATTGCAAAATTGCAACCGCCAGAAAACTTGGTTGCAAAATTAGTGACTTGATTTAACTGTATACATGCAACATGTTAAAATTAGAACGGAATGCTTTAGGGGATATGAAGGTCTTTTTGAGATCAATTGGGGAAAAAATTTCATGGGCACATTTTGAAGCTGTGTACAATATCCAACAAGATGATATTTAGCATATAGGCAATAAATTAAGAACAAAGCGCATTCAATGGCACAAACACAAAATGAAAGTTTCTATTGCTGCTCAGACACATCTGTGTCTGCTGCTATTACTTTTTTACGAAATATCAATGCTTCAAACTTCCAGAAAAGTGACTTTCTTTTGCTAATGAACAACCTTTTTGACCTCAACTTTAAAATTAAGTTAAAAGTAAATAAAACAAAACACCCATAACCAAAGAAAATTATTACCAAGTTTCAGCATATTTTAACAGAAGGGGTTGAAATTTTAAAAGCAAAATTTGAAATTTGTTGAAGTTGAAATTTGAAAATTATCAGTGGTCAAAGGAAAACATTTGTTTTGGGCTTTGCAATCTCTGCAATCTCCGCAAAATCAATTCTCGCCATTAGTAAAGATCTATACCGTTCAGAAAGAGCAACACATATGACATTGTCTTGACATACCGGTTCTCACAAGACCCTCTAGAAATGTTTTTCAGTAAAATAAGAGGACGACTTGGCTGGAATAATAATCCAAATGCATTACAATTCAAATATGCTTTACGGTCACTACTCTTGAAGAACAGAGTTGAAAGTTCACCAACATCAAACTGTAGCTAGCTATACACAAATGTTGAAGATGTCCTTTGTGCCTGAAGGGATCTAGGCCACAGGTCCGAAAATCTAATGATAAGACGTTTAAATTAAACTGACCTTTTTTGTTACAGGTAACACCACAAACATAACGCGCGGTAACTTTTTAACATTAGCGAGCTTAAGATGCGACAACGCACGCTGACGACGCGGCCGACCGGAAGTAAATTTTCCAATTTTTGCTGAGTGCGCATAAATATCCTGCAAAACAAGCGCGTCGTCACCTTGTTGGCGACGTACTTTTACAGATTTCACGGCGTCGTAAATTTTTATTTAGATTCTGGTAATTTTTGTTGATATGGCTGAACTTGTACCTTGAACAAGCAAGAAGTAAGTAAATAATTATTCACTTATATGCAATCTGAAAAACTACTCGTTAATTTTTTATTCAAAACGGAAGTAGAGAGCTAGTAAGGTTACCCGGAAGTTTGTGATCTGTATCTGATCAGTATTCAATAAACATAAACATTGCTTACATTTTGGTTTGCTCGTATATCGATAAACTTGCGGCAGTTTTTTACTTTCTTATTTATAAATTTTCTTGTCGTTAAAGCACAGACGGAACTTAGCCCGGAAAATGAGATATTATTAAAAGGCCTTTATCTCTTTATGTTTTCTTTTTATGTGTATTGCTAAAATAGCGTTTTAAATATCTACATAGTCATAGCATTTTCATCACATTTTGTCCTTGTATATTTGTATAGGGTTGCGAAACCTCCGTTTATGTCATGGACATCGGATAAAGATTTAATCCTCTGCCGAGAAATACTTGTGTCAAACCTTTTCAGCACAAGAAAATCATCCACTGAAAGGGGCAAAGTTTGAGAGTCGATTGCTGATAAATTATATGTCATAAGGCAGCCAACTTTTCGTGGACGAAGAAGTGGAGATGATGCAGTGGCATATTTACGTCAGAAGGCAGAAATGGAGATAAGAAGAGAGGAAATGGAAGTGAAGAAAGCAGAAGTTGATTTGGAGAAAAGCAAGCAACAGCGGAACAAAATCAGGCATTGGTGGCTCTTTTTGAAAAACTCAACAATCTGTAGGTATCCATGTAAAATACCCTAGCATTTTGTAAAATTCAGTTTCAACTATCTAAGAAAGAATGTCTAAGTGTTTAACAAGTCCACACATTGCTATGATATTTATATTTCATTCTATAACCT